TATAATTGAAATTAAGATGACATAGGCAATAAGAAGATAACATGGCCTACCTTTTGGCAGGTATAGACTGAGCAGACGCAGAATTAGGTAATAATGGAGACGAGATCATTTGTGTTTAGAGAGATATTTTCCTAGAGCTGGTTGTCATAATAACATGTTATTTAAAATTTTAAATAACTTAATTATATAAATAATGTAAAAAAGTTACTTGTTATAAAACCCGTGAAGCATGTGTCGTTCAAAGGGAAAACCCACAGCCCGTGGAAGAATTAAGTCAAGGCTATCCCCTCATTCCTTTCTCATTCGAACTCGGTAGACGAAAGCCAAAGAAACGGAGAGGGTGAGGAAAAGCCAAAGGGAGAGAGAAAGATAGTGTGAGAGACAGAGGAAGAAGAAAATAAAGCAGACGAAGGAGTTTACCTTTAACTGAGCCAGAGAGGAAGGAGGAAGACTCGTACTCCATTCTTCCACACCCGAGAGACTCAAACGAACATTCTTGAAGTGGCAGTGAATGAAGGAGGAGGTGTCGAAGCCGAAAACAAGTGAAGAAATGGTCGCATGCCTCTCATGTAAACATATAAGGCCTTTTTCGCAATCGAGAGCAGTTCGAGCTAGCACCTGAAGGCTCAAGTGATCAGAGCGAGCCTTCCTCACGCATCCCTTTCTTGCATGAAGGTAAAGAAAGAAAAATTTAGGCTTCCTGTGCCCTAACCGAAAAGAAGTAGAGGTAAGGTCAAGTGGCTTTTAGGAAGACTCATCGAGTGTATAAAAGATTTGGTAGCATACATGGGAACTTCTTGCATGTGTGAAGGTCTCCACCGAGCCCCACCTGCTCATTGTCTGTAATAAGGGAAAGGCGTTGAAAGGGAAAGGAGAGATTTTGGCTCAGAAAATATTTATGTTTAATTTTATTTTGCTAGACAAGTTTTAATTATAATTAAATAAAATGAAATTTCAGAAAATTTACATTAAATTGATTTTAATTTTGTTAATAATTGTTTAGAGGTAACTAGCAATAAGGCTAAAGCAAAAAAAGAGAACTTTGCTAAAGAAAGGAATTCAGGTATGAAGCTTAATTTAAATAATTGATTACTCGTTATATAATTAAATCAAGTTTAAAAGCTAAATTAAATTTTTTATAAATTAAGCATGTTAAAAAGAAGTTTAGGAAAGTAATTTTTTTAAAATGCAATACTTTATAATATAGAGTAATCCAACTAAATCAATTAGTTATACGTTTTAGAAAATCAAAAGAAATTTGGAAGTGTATATTTATATAGGTATATGTAAATGTTCATATAATTAAATAAGTAAATTGTGAAAATAATAATAATAAATCTAGAATTAATAGAAAAGAAGACTAACCCTGGACAGAAGCTAATTATATTTAAATTGTGATTACATGTGCACCTAAGAACAAATTTCACTTGAAGAATCGGACAATGGACATTAGATTATATCATAGAGGTGAGTAAATATTTTTTATTTAGAACACTTTGTTTAATTATACATGTTTTTACTATTTCCGAGCTTTTCTTTAAAAATGCAAAAGTTCATGGTTTTCTTTTATGCAAGAAAAAGAAATAAAATATAGTATATAGATGCAAATGTGAGCCACCCCTGCATGATACTGGCAGAGGAATGTAATTTACCTATGCACATAAATGAAAATGGTTGTCTATCTTTTATGATGGGTTAGAAAATGTTAAACTTAAAGTAAACATTTAGACGATGACTCCCAATAAAGAAAAAGTAGAACATAGATAATTAAAAGTAAATAAAACTGGATTCTTTACTATAGTAATTTTTATGGTTTGCTGCAATCTTATAAAATATTTTAAAATGACAATTATTATAATTTAGAAATATTTATCCACTGAGCAGTTTTAACTCAACATTTCAGTTCCTAACATTTTACAGGAAAACTATCTTTAAGTTAGATGAACCTTAGAGAGTACATGTATAGACACCAAGGAGTGCAGGATGATGAGTATTATTGTTCAATTTTATTTTTTGTTAGATGTAAAGGTTTAAATATGAATAAAATATTATAAATATAAATTATATAAAATAAAATGACTCTTTCGTACTTTGAATTTTATTTTAATTATGAAACAAAACTGTTAGATAGTTTTCTTCCGTCCGACCGATGGTTCTCATCTTGGAAATTTCAAACTCCCGGGTCGGGTCGTGATAAGGGTTGTATCAGACCACAACTCATTAATCAACATATTTTCTTGAGGTGTATATACACAAAAGAACCATTATTACTCCCTTCTTTTTTAATATGAGAGAAAATATTTAAAAGGTCTTTGCATTGTCAAATCTCACTCTTTTAGTTTCAATATCAAATATTGTTATCATATTAAAAATAGATAAAAAGTATGATATTTAAATAGCCTTTAGCTTTTAATAGAACCTATTGCATAAGGGTGCAATCATTAATAAAGGACACGTCCCTAGTTATGTTAGGGGTAAATAATATGGTGAATGAGAGAAAAAAAGATTTTTGTGTTCTTATGTAACTTATTAAAGAATTGACATGCTTGTCTTGCTAACGCACAAGGAAAATCTCTTAGATATTAATATGATTGAATAATAAAGTAAATATAACTTATAAAAAAACAGAACAAAGATAGCCAAATGTAGATTTTATTTTTACTTACTGGAATTAGATTTTCAAAAGAATTATAATACAGCATATGATTTGTAGTTTCCTTGGTACTAGATTCGAGACAATTAAGGCCGTCTCCTTTAGCAAGTCCATGCCATGCTACTAAAATAAATAATCGAAGCGAAATATATAATGAAACATTTAGAATCTATACTTAACTGTTGGAAAAATCATAAGTTAGTGAATAATTTGGACACAAGGAGGACATTCATGTATAAAGATTTGTTTATAAGCATATATTCTTAGCCATAAATGGTTGTTGATGATCCATCAGCAATAATTATTTTCTTATTGGAGGAAGTATATGGAATAAATTTGTGTCAAGAGCTAGTCATATAGTGTGGAGCTCCTGAATAAATAGTCGATGACATAAGACTGAATATCTTTAATACTTTAAAAGCATAAGAAAAGAAGGTAATATCTAAGAGTATAAGAGAACAGATACTTGTTGTAAGAATCTTTTCTAGTGATATCAGTAAATTTTAACTAATTTAATTCTTTTTTTGGAAAATCTTTGGTGTTACATTCCTCCACATGTGTTATATATGCATGAATCTATTCTTTTGCTTACCCTTTCAGTGTCATCGCACTCTTTTTTGTTTCACGTGAAGCTTCCAACATCAATATTTTGAATGTTATGCCTTCAATATTAACCATCTCTTTTGGGTGTAGCTGATTGTGCTACTCGGAATAAAAAAAGTTCTTAATCACAGTGTTTGATGTTGATGGCCTTTGTAATAGAAGTCGACCCTTCTATATGAGTATTGCAATCAAAACTCTCTTTCTTTTATCTCCTTAATCCATTCAAATGATGACAATGACATCAATTAAAAAAATCAAATTTTCCTTTTTCAGAATTTGAATCCTCGGAACTTCAAAATCAATATTCAATCTTTTTCAATAAACCTTTTTAGGAGAACTACATCTTTGTTATAGTCCATTGGATGAATTGATAACGAAACACCTCCTGCCTAAGAACTTGTAATAGATTGAAGTATTTTGTGATGGATTGTCCTTCTTACTTTGTGGTTGAGATCTTGATTTTGATCTCATAGATCTGGGTAGGATCACAGACTTCAGAATATATTTGATTTAACATATCACGGATTACTTTTAACGAATGGAGAAACATGGAAGTGTTGCTTATTTCAAGAACCATGAAGTTCCACAACTAGGACTTCATCATTGAGTCATATTCATCCCAATTATTGAATATGTGATCACCTTGTTGAGACCCGATGTTAAATAAACGGCCCAATTTTCATCATCTCTCAAAAAAGAACCACTTATAATCACGTTAAGGTAATTCTTTCCATTTAAAGTATATTTTGAATGAATAATATTTTATTATCCTATTGTGCTTGAGTTAATAGTTTCAATTCTAAATGAACCAAAGATCAAATGAACAAGGATAGCTTTGTAATCCGTGGGAAAAAAACATGCTGGTAACAGGTTGCACAAAAAAAGATATAAATAAAAAGATTATAAGGAATAAAAATATACCTGAGCAAAGAAAACTTGCAAGTTCTAGACAATGTAGTGACCAAGGCTAAAACTTATAGAAATGCTAAAAAAAAAAAGAGAATTTATCACCTGCTTCATTCGAACATTTCTATGATATTTATATAATCCTAGGAAAAGCTTCTAGTAAGAAAAAATATAAAATCAAATAATAATATTGCAGAATAATTACAATAATTCATAAATTGATGGGGCTACAAAATAATAAATTAATTAATTATAGTAGCCCACCGATTGATGCAATGGCACTAATAATCCCACAGATAACTGAAGTGGCATGAAGCGAATAAATTGGAGGATGGCTAGGTTCAGTGGAAAGTTAATTGAGGGGGAATTAATGGAAGTAATTTTGATGGAAAATTTTTCACAACAATAAATGGCAACCCGACAATGGTAAACTGCATCAAAAAACAGCCTTATTAACCAACCATTTTTATCCGACCTATCGTTGGCCGCTTCAAAGTAAAACCAATATTGAAGTATCTAAACTACATCAAACAGCAAAACCAATAAAGGCAACTCCACTAAAGGAAGCTGCCACTAAAAAACCAGGCTACTTAAGTAGGCATTTAAATCGAAAACAATTCTTTGAGCAGGCCGTCAAGCCACTTCAGATTTAAATTTAGACAAGTTCAGCTTTCAGCAAAAACTGGATAAATTTAGGTAAATAAAGTACCATGATGCAACTTTTAATTGCCTTAAATTGAAATTGCTAAATTAAAGCCTCGACGCAGTCAAATATGCTAAAGTGCCAAAAAAAGAACTTCAATAAGAATACTATATCAACATAAAATGGTTTATTCACCTCTGGTAAAGGACCTGGTGTATAAGTATCATCATCCTCAGCAATAACAAGGACCTCATCACCTTCTTTAAGAACATAATCATCCTCAGGGTTTATTACAATCTTTCCACCATTTGCAGCAACTTTAACACCACATGGAACAGCATCAGGGAAAGAAATCAGTACATCTTCAAATCGTAAGCCATCCAATTGAGGCCATCTTTTGATGTAAAACTCAGCGTTCTCAAAGCCCAAAATGTCCTCCCATATCTGCAAGAGTCACTGTAATACAATTGCTACAAGATAAAAGGAAAGCTCAATTCTTAGCAATGGAAATAAAACACAGCAATGATGCTACTAAAAATTTATCTCTGGTAATTAAGTAACAACAACAACAACAAAACCTTTATCCCACCATTGCAACTCATATTTTCATTTAATTTTAATAAATTACGATCATTTTTATATAATATGCCCAAGGCATCCTAGGTTTATCTCTGCCTTTCTTAACATAAGTCAAATCTAAGACATCTAGTCGTCTAAACGGATCATCAGATGGTCGAAGTTTAATGTGATCAAATTATCTAAGACGACTCTCTCTAATTTTGTCCGTCACTGGAGCTACACAAACCCTATCACTGATATATTTATTTCTCATTTTATCTCTAAGTGTAAAGCCACTAATCCACCTAATCATTCTCTAATAATTAAGTAACGAGGATTAAATTAGCACAACATGCCAATCAGTGATTAAAAAAGGGAAAAGAAAAAAAAATGTACATATTAGAATTTAAAATGTAATAAGTTTGCCAAAACTCAAATTTTCAGGCCGAAATACCCAAAACTAGCACTCATTTTCCTCCTCTGAAGGGGAGAAGTGATAGGATTTATTTTTTTATTTGTCAATTGTTCTTCTTCAAAGTTTTGCCATTTAGTTCAGTCCATGCCATCTACAAGTCTGCATAAAGGATCAGCAATCAAGCATGACCAGAAGTATTAATATAATGGTAACAGTTAAATTTAGACAAAAAGAACATCCTAGCATTGAAAAGTTACAGCAGTTTGTGAAAGAACTATACAAAAAAATTAAGGCTCTTATTAAGGGAGTCAATAAGCAGTTCAGTATATATCTACAATGTGTAAAAATCATGGCAGATTAACCTGTGCAAGGCCAGGTTGGAGGGCACACAGTATCATCAAACGTCCAATGACATCATGAGCAACAACTGTTTCAATAAGTTCTCCTCCGACAAGCTTCACCAGAGGCTCATTGTCTAGGTCACTCATCTCTACCACAACATGACCCCTCAAGCCCTCCTTAACACCAGTAAGGCTCAAAACAACTCTTAAAGCCCGTGCATCACTCTACAAAAGATCGAGACAATTAAAAAATGAGAGAAGTTCAGAACAAATTTGAAAGATAATATGCTTGTTATCAGTTAAAATCTCAAAAGACCTGGTCTGCATTTTCATCAGATGCCAAAACAATGATAGCACGTGCCTTGGAAACTGAAACCTGCAGGTGCACCAGTTTAACTCCAGATAAGTTGAATTCAACAAGATTCTCGTACTATTAATTACACAATGAGAGAATTTATCTTCTACAGAAAGATAGAATGTCGCAGAACAACCTTACAAAAGCCACTCACTATGATCTTACAGAACTTTATAAATGCCAATCAGTAGGATTTTGCATAACCAAATAAATACAAGTCACTTAAAGGTACCATAGGTATAATACCTTTTTCAAGTCAGCTAGAATTAGAGGACTGCCGCTCCTGCATATGACAGATGTCCCCATGAAATCAAATTCTAGTTTTGCAATGTCCATCTCCATTTCCTCCTTATCTCTCTCTGCAAGAACTACTATAACTCCGCCGCCAATACTCATATTTGCAATTGCTAACTGTTTAAGAAGAGATCCCTGTAATCAAGCAGAAATCATAAAACAAATTGATCAAAGGCATGATAAAATATAGTTAATCTAATTTTTTAAAGCCTTAAAAATTAAAATGAGAAGAAAGAGGGACAGAAAAAAAGAGATTATGTGATTAAACTTTATTCCCTTATTTGCACTATAAAACATAAGGCTCTACATAAATAGGTGAAGAAATAACTACTTCAAAAAGAAATAAATCTAGAGACTACTCCTTGACTTTAATTATGGAACCAGTAAGTAACTACAAAAATAAAAAATAAAAAAGAAACAATTGGGATTTTTTCTTTTCTAATGAGATGTCACTGAAAAGGAGAGCTACATTCATAAGTTGCTGGACTTCTATAAATGGAAAGTCAATGTCAATGGATTGTCTGTTTGTTGGAGATGGTAAGTTTTTATCCACATATTATTAGTTTGCTGTAGCTGACAAGATGTTTGTCATGAATTAAAGATTATTTCAACAGTCCTGCTCAAGCTAGATTGCAAATGTTGATCATATCTGGATTGTATATTATATCATCAAAACTCATTAGGGTTAAACCCTTGATAAGAATATGTACAATTATTGCAACATAATTTAATTGAATTGGTCCATTTTCATTTTTTGTAGATGAAATGTTGGTTTATCTCAATTTGTTACGTCCTATCTTGATAAACGGAATTTTTTGCAACACTTGAGGCAATTTAGCTATGACACGTAATTTTGGACACATTTTTACTTGATAGTTTATTTCTTCTAATAATATTTTAATTACATTCATTTGCAATTCTCAAGTTTTGATATCCTATATTCAGCCTCAACACTGCTTCTTAGGAAGACATGTTATTTCTTCATGTAATCAAATTTTACCCTTGCATAATTACAATAGCCAAAGATGAATCTTCACTCTGATGTCTACATCCTATCAACATCTGAGAAAATTTTGACTTTCTTCTTTGATGATTTTAATATAGCAGGTCATTTCTAGGTCATATCAATTTACCTTAAAATACAGTTAACATCATTCATGTCATCTTCAATAAAGTTATACAACACTAAGAAGGAACCTACTCTCAACATAGGACCTAATATCAAGAAAGGTGACAGAGAGAGAAAGAGAGAGAGAGAGAGGGAGAGATGAGTTTGCTAAGATAGGTTATGCTCTTATCAATAGGCATACAATATTAACGGAGAACCTACTTTTTATAATTGGGGTCTATCAAAGTTCCAACATTCTTACAGCTAAGCATTCATTTCTTTTAATAGATCAAAAATATACTTCATTCTAGAAAAGATAATATATTGTTTTAATTATATCACTTACATATCAAAAAAGTGTTCTCAAATATTCAGGGCTTTCACAGCAAATTCTCTAACCCAAAATCCTTCGAACCTATTTAGCATTTATTCTAACTCATCTGTAAATATAATATTCTCAAGATATACAAACAATCCTTTAGAAAAAGGTTTGATAAAGAGAGTGTGATATGCAAAGACCCTAATTGTACATACACTTTTAATCTATTTTCTTTTTTACACTTTTAATATATTTGAAGAATCTGTCAAGCTGGACATAATGAATTGCTCAAGGTCTATTAGACCTTTCCTAACCGAGTGTAACTTTCAGTGAGATCTCCATATATGCTTCCTCCTCAAAGTCCCACAAAAAAAATATTTATAATATCAAGCTTACGTAGTGGCCAGCTCAAATTTGCTATTAGTGAGAATAAAATAGAATTGTGATGAGTTCAGCAATATGAGAGATTATTTTTTGATCCACAATACCATATAAATGGGTATACTCTTTACCAATAAGTTAGCCTTTAAATTTATCCATGTTCCCATCTAGTTTAAATTTAAATGTAAAAATGCATTTATATCAAACTAATTTTTTCCACGTGGAAGTTAAGAAAAATCTAATGTGTCATTCATTCTGTTAAAACTTTGTCAAGGACTTTGATAGTCAATACAATATTATTGGGGGACACTTTAGCAATAAGTAGGATATTAAATTTATTCATGTTTTTATCAAGATTAAATTTGTCTGTAAAGATGCATTTGCATCAAACTAAATTTTTCCCATGTGAAAGTTCAAAAAAAAAAAAAAAAACTGATGTGTCATTCCTTTATAAGGCAAAGATTTCTTCCATTACAACTTTGTCTAATTCAAGAATTTTAAGAACTTTATGAACGTTGCTAGAAGTTTATATTTTATTGGGAGAATCGACAAAATCATGAAATCTAGATGAAAACCTTTATAAGTCATAAATCATAAATCAGGTGTTAGGTGCATGACCTCATCATTTCCATAAGTTATCGTAATAGTGAAAACCAGCATTATCATCCATGAATTTACTCTCATTAGTTTATTCTTCATTGATCCTTGAACCATGTTCAGGTTCCTGGTATTGTTGGAGACATATAGACTACTCTATTTGTTTTTTCTTCTCTCCTAGATGGACAAGAGACTCATTGTGCAAAGGTTAGGTATATTGACACGGTGTAAGAGATTTTGTGACTCTGATGAGGGATTAATAGGTTAGATATATTGATAGAGTATGAGGTAGTTGGTTGCTTTGGTGTGATTTGAATAGGTTGAATAAAGGGAAATGAGAAATTTTTCTAAACTCTAAAGTTAAAAGCACAATGATATGGGAAAGAAATAAATCTATGAAATTGTTTTTAATTTTATGGCATACAATTAAGTACACAACAGAAATAGAAAATAATAAGGGAAAATGGATTATTTTCTTTCTTAAGATCTACCTAAAAAGAAATATCATTTACCATTGATTATCGAATTGTTTTTGATGAAAAGTGGTTGTCCATAAACTAAAGAATTATTGTAAATGGAAAATTATTATTCATTGATTAATGGATTGTTGCAAATAAAAAGAGTTGGCTATGGATTCAAAATTATTGTAACAGAAGAAGACTTATATTTGAGCAAAAGTGTAGTTCTCTGTTTCACAATATAAATGACGCATGCGGACTTTAATTCACTCACTTACATCTAATAAGTCAAAGAAACCCTTGAATGTTTAAAATTCATACTAAATTTTACTAGTCTATTGGTTTTAATGTAGATTGCGCCACTAAATTTAAACATTTCATCTGATCTCACTGCAAGTTGAATATAGTTACAAATGTATAGTTAATTGGTTAGAAAACAATGAAGTAGAAGATAATAATAAATACAAAAGCTAAGAAAATACTCCTAGCAAACCAAATGAATCTTCCGTTTCCAACCATCTCAGAACAAGTGTTTGCAAGCAATTTCTTGCTACAGCTAAAGTGAGAGAAAGATCATTTCTTCTACATTTACATTATCAAAATGTACGACTAAAGCTACTAGTTGCAAACCACAACGCAAGAAAAAGAAATGGCAACATACAATTCAGTTTTCCAATTAAACATGTTAGCACAACTTGAGAATGCTGACAATGTAGATCATTGAAAAATGAAATCTAATAGATAATTACCAATTTGTCACTCCACCCAAGAATTAGAATGTGATTTTTCTCAATAACTTCACACTTTCCCTTCCTCCAAGAATCAACCTTCTCTGAAATTGCATCCGACACAAGCCCAAGCATCATGGCAAAGATCAACATGCCCCCTGAACTGATTGATACAGAGACAACTCTCGGCCGCAAACCAACCATTTCAGCATGGTTCCCAGAATCCGCAACAAAGGTCCAAGAAAGCCAGAGAGCCTCAGAGAGGCTGCTTTCACTCACTGCATACAGTGCCAACCCACCAAATCCAATGAGAAGTATGGTAGCAAAAAGCAGGGCCAGAAGCTTAGCATATGGGTACATAGAGAAGAACACATCCACCCTATATGCTATCCTCTTCTTTAAAGGAACTTCCTCCTCATTATTCTTCGAGCCCTTCAAATAAGAGCTTAAGCTAGGTATGTGCTCAAGGAATCTCAACAGAATAAAAGGTAAAACTACTGACAACGTCACCGTGTACAATGCAACTGTCCTGCTATCAGGTATTCCCAAATAAGAATCAGAAAACCTATCCTCAGATTGCAAAATTTGGTCATCTGCCCAGCCCTCAACTCCATTACCATCTCCATTACAGATCATACTAATGTTAATTATTTTATCCTGAACAAAAGTTAGCAAACACCAAATCAGATTCATTTAAGCCAAAATTAACCTTTAGTCCAAGTAACTCCGTACCTCAAGTTCTAGGACTCTTATTCGCTGATGAACTGCCACTGAACATGAAACTACTGAAACCATAACTAGCTGCCAGAAAAAGATGTAACTAAATGACCTGCAAACTCCAAAAAGGAAATCTTCCTTGTAGTAAGCAAAAAAACATAAAAAAGCTCTCACCGTTAAAAGAATAAAAGAATTACTAGTTCGAAGAGCTGCTCTCGACGTTACAGCTGAGGCGCAGGGAACAACCATAAGCTTCCTCTTCTCCTTCTCCGGTAAAACCTTCAGGGCATCCTTATCGAATTGCGTTAGCTCGGGCTTTGAGATTTGCTTATTCGCTTCTAAAGTCCGGTCAGTCACCGGCAACTTCGGCGGTGGTAGATGCTCTACCTTAGGTGGATCCGGTTTGGGACGGGCCCTCGCGGAGGCGCGCGGGCGTGAAGGGTACGGACCAAGGAAAGAGGGATAGAACCAATCACGATCAAGAACACCCCCGTTAGCAGGGGCATCCGAAGGGTCCTCGACCGCAACCATTAACCGCCGCACCGGGCCGGCTGGGGGCGGGGGGGGGGGGAGGCTCG